CCTAGGTTATTATTTTAATGCTATAGAAGACATGTTTTGCATATAGCTGTTTCCTGATAACGAGATGTTGATCTTAAAAATCACAAAAAACCAGCTACTTATTCAATTATTTTAACTAATATCACTTGCTTCTCATTCTACGGTAATGGGTGACCTTAACATATATATATATATATATATGAACCCTAACTTGATGACTCATATAACTAAAAAAAATATCTATTCCCAGATCTCTCACCAGAAGGAGCTATCTAAGTTATTCTTCTACCTTTTGACTAGCTCAGCAAATCTTTTTGGACATAGTGGGGTGTTTTTTTTTTTTAATAGTAAAGCTTTTCTTAAATGGGAGTGGGGTTGGGGGGTAAGTGAGACATATAATGCGGGCCAAACCTAAAGTAAGTCTAAAATTAGGTTAATGGACGTTTCGGGAGGGGGCATCCCCCTTCCCTTGTTATCGCCTAGTTTTGTGAGATAATCAGCATATTTGCAGTGTTTCTGTCAGAAGGTAGAAATTATTAGCTTTTTTTTTATTATTATTATGATGCCGTTTTGCTGGTTGTTCTGATACTTCCAACGAACCTCTTCAGGAAGCTGCAGAACTGGTTACAATCGCCTGTCTTTGGTTCTCTTTTAAAGATTACCATCTTTAGCCTTCTTAACGATTTTGTATGTTTGTTTCGTGTTAGCCACGAAGGTAAACAATTGGCTATCTATGCTGTACCTACCACAGCTACCGAAACCCGATTTTTTAGCGTTATAAGTCCGCAGCCTTGTCTTTGACTTTGAGGTAAGTCGCACAATACAAAGGTCCTAATTGAGGAAACTTTATTCACAAAATAATGTATCATTGCAGTGCGAGATCCCCCCCCCCCTATTGTTTTTGATATGGATACTCGGTATTCTGACCGTGTGAGATTATGAAATGATGCATTTTTTACATTATTTTTTTAATTGTGATATTTGATTATTACCCCCTCTTGTCCCCCTTTCTGTTTTTTGTTTCTTTCTGTTATTTATATCAAATTTTTAATACCACTCCCCCCTATTTTTGGGGCAGTTTTTTATTTATCTGCCCCTCCAGTGGCACAGCGGTATGTCTGCGGACTTACAACGCTAGAAATCGGGTTTCGATACCCGTGTGGGCAGAGCACAGATAGCCCATTGTGTTGCTTTGTGCATAACTACAAACAAACTGCAACTTATGTTTATGTAACCTGATTGGACGTCGTAATATTTAATGTAGATTGTTCTATTTACACACCATATGTCGCTAAATAACTTATTTAAAAAATGTTTTTCTTGAGAACTCCATTTACAGAACTAGGGATAAGTTGTGAATATCAGGATTCGTGGCTCGCATTCCGTTGCCCTGAAAACTCGCTCAGCCCTTTGGGGCCGTGAATGGGCCACAAGAATGACAGTGAAGTCCCATTATGGATGCTGTTAACGAGCTAGCTTTCATCTAGTCTGTATTAGTTCAGAAAGATCACACAGGCATGCGCAGATACTTCTTGTGTAGCTTTGTGCAAAAATCTGAAACAAACAACTTTTCAGGCACGTTAATTTTAAGAGAGGTGCATAAAAGTGTGATATTTGTAACTGAAATAAACGTTGAGCCGCTTTTATTATAGTGTCGCAGGTTCGAATCCCATCACCGAACATGTTCGCCTTTTCAGTCTTGGGGGCGTTATAATGTGACGGTAAATCCCAATTTTAGTTGGTAATAGAGTAGCCCAAGAGTTGGTAGTGGGTGATGTTGCCTTCCCTCTAGTCTGTCACTTCAAAATTAGGGACCGCTAGCCCTCGATAGCTTTGCGCGAAATGGAACAAACACACAAACCAAACTTACTTTAAGTTCGCGATTTCACTTATGGTGCGTCAAAACTCGCATTATGGAAAGAGAACAATACATTTCGCACGCACAAATGAATTGCGGGAGATGTAGACAGTATAAATATAAAAACATTAGATTTTTATCTAGTTTTTAATTATTTCGTATTTTTCAGTTTTACGGTAACATCGGGTTTTAATTATTCCGTATTTCCAGTTTTACGGTAACATCAGGTTTTTAATTATTTCGTATTTCCAGTTTTACGGTAACATCGGGTTTTATTTATTTCGAATTTCCAGTTTTACAGTAACATCAGGTTTTTAAGTATTTCGTATTTCCAGTTTTACGGTAACATCGGATTTTTAATTATTTCGTATTTCCAGTTTTACGGTAACATCGGGTTTTAATTATTTCGTATTTCCAGTTTTACGGTTACATCGGATTTTTAATTATTTCGTATTTCCAGTTTTACGGTAACATCGGGTTTTAATTATTCCGTATTTCCAGTTTTACATCAGGTTTTTAATTATTTCGTCACAGATAACTTTTTTTTTTTTTAAAATACAATTTCAAAAGTGCATTCCCGTTCTTGTTTCAAACGATATTAACTTTCACAAGAAATGTAGATAAATACCAGATTAAAATACAGAATTAAAACTGAAGGAAAAGCATATCCTTATAACCAACTGCCTTGTCTAACATACTTACAATGATACGAATATTTTTTGTACTTATACCATCACTACTATGGTTATGTGCTGCCATCCTCAATTTTTGAACTATTGACCAGAGGGAAAGTAGCCAGTCAGTAGCACCCTACCACCCATCTTCCACGCTAAGGGGGCTAACTGCCACTTTTATAACGCACCCAAAACTTAAAGTGAGTGGAAAATTTTGTGATATCGCATAGATTCGGACTCGACTCGCCAGTTCCGAAATCCAAACTTCTAACACAGGGTCAATCAATACCCTTTGATTTTCACACTTAGCTTAACACCTCGGTGATTACACGTGTGTAAAATGTGCGATAAAGTTAGGCAACTTACATTCTGGGGCTAGTTGAAAATAAGGCTTAACAGTTTAACGCGAAACGTCTTACGCTCCAACTCTCAAACCAGAGATATTCAAAACTTTGACGAATCTGATAACATGTGTAAACCAGTTATCGCGTTTTCTTTAACAACTTCAGAATCTGCAAATTACACCCCCTGGGCACATCAAGCCCGTCAGCTTATATAATGGATATAATATCTACAAACACTGGAATTAGGCTATAATGACGTTGTTGTTTTTTTTTATCTGAACGTGAATAATATGTTTTCAAGTTAGGTTCATCAACTTGCATCGCCATCTTGTATTCGCGCGTACTTTTTACATAATAATAATAACTGTTTTTTTTTAATCTTACAAAACATTACATTTACCTAAGTAAGACCATTAGGAAAGCCATTTTCCAGGCTCAGTCGTTATTGTATAGCTGCAGGATACTGTTCATATGGTACTTATTTAAGCAGCACCATCGACAAAGAAGCTAAGCTCCATACTTTTCAATGATAACAATGGTCTGAGGTTTTCTGAACCTTAAAGTCGTATTTACATAGTAATCTCAACTTTAGGATCTCCTGGGTTCGAACCATGGCATCTCTTGCACGTCATTTGAGTGCTCTACCTACTGAACTAGAGGATTGACCTCCCCTTTAATTTTATAACATGTTTTGAAACTTGATATAGCCTCAGGATAAAGACATCAACTCGTCCTTGAGAGCAATATTACGTCGCTATGTCATGAAGATCTGATGAGTGTTATTGTATGAATATCAGTAATAAGTTTGTGTTTTCTTTTTGTGTGTGTGTAAAAGAAAAGCTCCTTCATTTATTGCGTTCGGACAGGTAGGATGGTGTGGAGGAGGGTAGGAGGGGGCTATCTACTTATTACCACACCTTTGAGGTCAGTAACGCCAGATCCGCCAAAGCGCCCGAAGGCAGTTTATTCGAAAGTCTGACTATTTGGACATGAGATTATGATAGTAATCCAAATTTGGTGTTAAGGGTGTAGCCTGCTTAAAGACGTAGGTTGGTGTTTAGGTTAGCTTTAAGCCCACGTGAAAATGCCATGAGATTTCTTTTTCTCTTCGTAGTTACATTTTTTTTAGTTTTGTGCCCTCGATATTAGTCAAGGTAAAAATGATTTTGGTAAGGTTGCTTAGCTTAGTGGGTGGTAGAAGGTTTTCCCCTGTATCATAACTTTTTTCAGCACGTGATGCATGTGATTTAAGACAACACGTGGATCATTGTTCAATAAATTATAATGCCGTAGACCCACTAGGGGTCGCTGATCTCTCGTTAGGCTATTAATACGTTTGATATTTACGGGCATATCTTACGTTCTCTGAATTAGAGGTTACTTTAAATTAAAAAGATGCGAATATTGATATGTATCATTTGACGATTTTATAAGATGGCGGCCATGAAATTCACATCCACATAAGTCATCCGTTACGTGTGTTCCGCTTTTTTTTTTTCACGAAATGAACAATGACCGATTGAAAGAAGGAAAAGTTTTCTATAAGAACACGTTTTAGTTTAAACCTGTTTATGCAGAACAGCCTGACTAGGTTACAGTAGTGAAGGTATCATACTTTGAGTGTGATCTACAAGAATATCAGTTATGTACTAAAATGCATGGTAAAAAAGTGACCCCGAACTGACGTTTAAATTTCAAATTTAGGCCTAAAAAAAAAAGGAAAGAAAAGAATTCCAGTGGTGACGGCACCATAAAAACTGCTCTTCGAGGTGATTGTAATTAGGTGCTTCAGTTAAATATCTTATAAAAAGCGATTTTCTATTTCTGCTGAAAGAGCAACAACAAGAAACGTGTACGTACGTATATTACCTTATGTTTGTCCCCCCGATAGGACAGCGTTAAAATCCGGGGTTCGATTCCCCACGGTGGACACGGCGGGTAACCCCAATATGGTTTTGCTCTAAAGCAGACAATCAAACTCTATGTTTGAAATACTTCTTAAATACTATATGTGATACACGAAAGTGACTTTAAGTCCCGTACGTCATACATCCAGTTAGTTGTTTTATGGATTCTATGTACAAATGCAGACGTACAATATGCTCTTATTTAGTTTCTAAGTCAGATTTTTTTTTGTCTTCACAGATGGTGACGAGAACAAAAAAAATATTTGTTGGCGGCCTTTCCGCTCCAACCACTCTTGAGGACGTGAAAAACTACTTCCAACAGTATGGACGGGTAAGTTTAAACCTTATTTGATGTTAATACGTACACACGCTATAGTTAAAACATAAGAAATAGAACATTTCCTACTAAAGCAGCGGCCTGGCATGGCCAGATGGTTAGGGCGTTCGCCTTGCACTATGCGGGTCGCGGGTTCGAATTAATCCCCATCCCACCAAACATGCTCGCCCTTTCAGCCGTGAGGACGTTATAACGTGACGGTCAGTCCCACTATCTGTTGGTAAAAGAGTAGCCCCAGAGTTGGCGGTGGGTGGTGATGATTAGCCGCCTTCCCTCTTGTCTTTAGCTGCTAAATTAGGGACGGCTAGCGCAGATAAGCCGTCGTGTAGCTTCTAAATCAAACCAAACTAAAACAGCGCACTGTGTGACACCTATCGGGAAAGTACGAATGACGATTTTAAAGATTAATAAATAATAAGGCTTAAGAAGAACAACGTAAAAATAGCTAATTACTATGATAATTGATTTAGCGCTGACCATTTACAGTGTAATGACGTCTAAGGGTAAAAAACACAAACATTACGATTAACCAGAACCTTGTGCGCACGTGGGCTAAACAGCCAGATCAGTGACCCTCCCTAAGATTCAGATATAACCGACCCTAATTTGGAACTACTGATTAGAGGAAAGGCGGTTAGCCAGCAGCACACACTCTCCGCAGCCAGGGGGGTTTGGAAGGATTACGTCAACTTTAGTTTTAACTGAAAGTAGAAACTGTTAAAAACAAATATATATATATATATATATATATATGTATGTGATTTTACAACTGGTGGTGATATTCAGACGTAATAGATAAAGACAACTGATTCTTTGTGGATATCGGATCATCAGTGTGTGTGTAAAAAAAAGTAGTTCGGAGAAATGGAGAGGCTGTGTGTTGGTTGCGATGGAAGTCTCGCGAAAGTTCAAATTCTTGTAACTTTCTTGACAGTAATAAAGAACCAATGTGTTTCCTTCTGTCCATAACAATCCATGAACATTTAGTTAGATGTCAACATAACAAATGTAAACATATTTCCCAAAGAGAGGGAAGAAATGTAAAAGTCCCCACATTATCAAAACGCCCAAAGGGCGCTGTTTGCAGGTAGGCTATAGATATATTTACCAAAGAGAGGGAAGAAATGTAAAAGCCACACATTGTCAAAACGCCCAAAGGGCGCTGTTTGCAGGTGGGATATATATATATTTACCAAAGAGAGAGGGTAGAAATGTAAAAGCCACATTGTCAAAACGCCCAAAGGGCGCTGTTTGCAGGTGGGCTATGGATATGAATGCAGATAACTGATCGTCTATTAGTATAAACTCACGAGATGATTGAAACAACCAGATGCCTCTCTGAGAAGCTACGTCAGTTTGTCAAAAACACAAAAATTATAATAATCCTGTTCCCGAAAATTCCTCCAGTCAGGTAGTTTGGAAACCAGTGCTAAGGAAATCATTAATTATTATTTTTTTTAACCCCGTTTTCATTCTGACCTGTTTTGATATTCAAATTCCATAAAACTTTAGAATTGGTCCAAGCCAGTTAATCCCAAGGCTGAAACAGGCTTTGTACGGTCGGTCTGGTTTGGGTCGCACCTGCCTAGTTCTTTCTGATACGTCACTCGTGTTGCCCGTAGTGATTAGGGACCAGCTAATAATGCAAGTCTATGGCACATCCGCTCTTTCTGGTAACATCGCCCACTGGAAAGCGGTTTTACCTGTTTCCCTGCCTTGTCGGTTAGTTAACACGTGACTTGTTTCGATGTTGTTGCTTTCATACGTTTTTTTGTTTTGTTTTTTCATTAACTAGTGACTCATCTAACGCGTGAGATGAGGTGTAAGGTTTACACAATCACGTAACTTAACGTGTAAATCTCGAGTTCTAAATGAAAGACTTCTGGGATGGTTGCACAGAGGAAATTTTTTATATAATATGATGAATATTACGTTCCACAAACATCTGAAGAACTGTAAATAAAATACAACTGTTCATTGAGATAAGTGCAAACAAGTAGTCAGATGACACGAAGTTAGGGTTTTATCTTTGATGATGATTTGATGTTACAAGTTTCACATACGGAATTCTTAATGGCTAAAACAAGATGGAGGTTCAGACATCTCGGAAATTAGCTTCAGAATCAGATCCTCAACCTTTGTTTGAGAAGTATTATTTAGATTTAGATTTCATACAATGATAACTGCTTGCCAATCAATGAAAGAGAAGATTTGGTCCACAGCGCCCCCTAGAGAGTGTGTGTGTGTGATTGCCTAATTTGTTTTTTGTTTATTTTCAAGTAAGTCGTGTTTGTTTGTTGTTAAGCACAAAGCTTTCAAGTAAGACAGCATCGTGGAATTGATTATCAAAGTACAAATAAAGCGCATTTCGACAGTGAACTGTCTGTTTTTTTTTCTGACCTTTTGGGCGTATCTTGGACTAATTAGCCAATTTTTACAGCGTCAGTTTGAAGAAGAAGATATAGTAATGACTCAGAACGAATACATCAATCTGTAGGTAGCTGAAGTTTTGTTAAGTTTTGGAATAAGTAAGTGTATTTATATCTAAACAGAGGTTAGATAGGAACATCTGTGTGGCTAAACGTTAAGAGACCGTTTCCCAAACGTTTGTCATCCACGCCCCCCTTTAATAAATATAGTATCTTGCGTGCTCCCTCCTTTTAAAATGAGTGAAAGTTTGTTTGTAATTATGCACAAAGCTACACAATGGGCTGTCTATGCTCTGCCCACCACGGGTATCGAAACCCGATTTCTAGCGTTGTAAGTCCACAGACAAACCGCTGTGCCACCGGGGAGCAAAATGGTTTGTTTGTTTGAAGTTAAGCACAAAGCTACACAATGGGCTATCTGTGCTCTGCCCACCCCGGGTATCGAAACCCGGATTTTAGCTGTGCTACTGGGGGGCATGAGTGAAAGAATGGGTTAATTGATGGGATATAACACACGGATACACATTAAAATGTGTTGTAGTAATTACTTATTATTTTCATTAATAAAAAGTCCCCCAGTGGCGCAGTGGTATGTCTGCGGACTTATACTGCTAGAAACTGGGTTTCGATACCCATGGCGGGCAGAGCACAGATAGGCCTTTGTGTAGCTTTGTGCTTAAAAACAAACAACAAAACAACATTCATAAAAAATATATTGAAACGTTTAATTTTGCATTATTTCACTATTTACTCTACCCTAATCGCTTGCCCCCCCCCAAGATATAATTTACATTAAGAGACAATAAAGTAAACCAAATCATTTTTGTTGATAGTAATAAAATCCCATTTACTGCATTACTCCCATTAAGTGCAGTAGTTTTAAGCAGGAACTGATTATCAATAAGGGATTCGAACCACGGTTTCGTGACGGTTAACAGAATACGTATCCTTGTTACACATTATAATAACTAGGAAGTCATGCACGCACGTGACTGAATGTAACTGTATACCGGAAAAGTATTTTGTTCAGGAACACTTTTTTTTTTCGATCATTTTTTTTTTTTTTACATGTAATATACAGTGATCTACATTTGTACATCATTAAACATGCTTCGAAATGGAAAATAATTTTCTTATTCGCAGATTTAGTGATCCAGTGGTTGAGTTGGGGAGGGAGGGAGTCACGTTCCACACGTAGTGTGTTATGTAGTTTTTTTGTTTTTTTTCGACCGTTAAAGATAAGTTAAAATTTGAAGGTAGACACTTGGTACGAGTGGCAGTAATTGATTTAATGACGTTAATCTCCACGTGACAATAGGTAGAAATTTCTTAGAAACGTGCGGGTTAAATATATCAAATAAAATAATAAGTAGTTAATCAGATGCCATTGTAACTTCTGATATGTATATTATGAAGTTATCGTTAAAAATCTGAATCAAATGGCAAAGAATAGTCTGTCTCCCCCCGCGGCCTAATGGTTAGCGTGTCGGGCTGCGAATCGAAGAATCCGTGGTTCGAGGCATGAAGCAGTTTTAACTGTGGAATATAATCTCCTTATTCGGTTTAAAAAAAAAATCCTTAAAATACTAGTATTCAAACAAAAGGGGAAACTTAAGAAAACCACGGATGTACTTACACAGTCAGGACAATATGGCAGTTTACTGACCGTCAGCATTCCTTTCATCTGTTTACCATCAACAAGCGTTTCTTCCGCTGACTATAAGTAAGCCTTTTCTTCTGCTGACTACCAATAACATTCTGTTTACCATCAACAAGCGTTTCTTCCGCTGACTATAAGTAAGCCTTTTCTTCTGCTGACTACCAATAACGTTTTTATTTACTGATCATCAACAAAATTTTCGTCTGCTAACTATTAACAAGCTATTAATCAGCTGACCACCAGAAAGCTTTTCATCTTATGACCATCACCAATCTTTTCATCCCCTGATCAACAATACGCTTTTTATCCGTTGAATATTAATAAGTTTTTCATCTTCTGACCACCAACAAAATTTTCATCTACTGACCTCCAACAAGCCTTTCATCTGCTGATCATCAACAAGCTTGTTATCTTCTGACCATCAACAAGCTTTTCATCTTCTGACCACAAATAAAATTTTCATCTACTGACCGCCAACAAGCCTTTCATCTGTTGATCATCAACAAGCTTTTTATTTTCTGACCATCAACAAGCTTTTCATCTACTGACCATGAATAAGACTCTCATCTAAGGATCACGTCTTCACTTCCTTTTTTAAATCATAATCAAATCAGTTCGTCACTTGAACCTAAGTCGTAGATTTTGTCAGACTGGTCGATGAATTTTCTCCTTTCTGCATTGACCATGATTCCAAGAAGACAACACCAGAGTTGGTGTGGAAATGTTTCGTTTGTGGATTTTGCTGTGCTTTGGAAAAGCTATATTGCGCCGCCATTTTGCCGTGATATTCCAATGTATATTCATAGCAGTGTTCTCCCTCCAGTACTGTACCGATATCCAATATTCAATTGGGGTTGAAGAATATTTGGGTGCCTTACGTCGATATTCTGGGATACCCAGTGAGA